AACACAATACGACTGAATTCCGCCATCGTTCTCAGTAGCACTAGTAGCGCAGATATCACTATCCCTTAACATGTTCTTTGACAGTGTCGATAACACAACAACTACTACTACTACTACTACTACTACTACTACTACTAGTACTAGTACTAGTACTAGTACTAGTACTAGTACTAGTACTAGTACTCCTACTACTACTACTACTACTACTACTACTGCTACTACTACTACTACTACTACTACTACTACTGCTACTACTACCACCTCAAACCTAAACCCTAAACCCTACAGCTACTACCACCATCACTACTGCTTTGACTGTGACCCTGTGCTGGGGCTCCTTGCGTTTAGCCGGGCCACCGCCTCGTGCATGAGCTCCTCATGACAGGATGTTTAGGGTTTAGGGTTTAGGATTTGGGGTTTAGGGTTTAGGGGCTTAGGGTTTAAGGTTTAGGGCTTAGGGCTTAGGGTGTAGGGTTTAGGGGTTTGGGGTTTGGGGTTTAGGGTTTAGGGGTTTTAGACTCCATGGGTCCGGGGATCGCATGTATTTTGAGCGCCTGCTAGAGCGCAGGTTTTGGAGCCATGAATTAAAGGCCTGAAATGGCTCAAGTGGCGAAATCAAACTTTCAGCTGGGGTTACGGCATGCTCTGGGGGGATTTCAGCTTTGGCCGCACGGTTTCCAGCAGCTCTTATAGTCAGGTTTGAGACATGAGGGATTCTTGATGAAACTAGCAGTGCGTACGCCACTATGAGTTTTAACAGCTGCACGGCTCACAGGTTTAAGAATGGCCGTAATATAGGGGCCTTAATACTTAGAATAGGGTTTTGGGGCCCATTATACTATAATTATAATAAGGAACCCCCCAAAATAGTATTGGTAATTATTTAAGCCCGTATAGTAGTTTTTGCGGCCATCACACATCAGCCTGTCTGGCTTCATTAGAGCTTGGCAAACTCAGCAGTGGATGCGATTGAAGCCATGGACTCACGCGACATGCGGCACTCCCCCATGGCCAGTATTGGGGCACCCCCCCGGCCAGTCCTCATCAAAACGTGTAATAGGAAGAGAGCAAAAACAGACAGAGACAAACACATGCCTAGTCACTAGGCAACCCGAAACCCGCGGATAATCCACTAGAGAAACCCAGCCGCTATACCTGACAAGGCCCTATTCCGATTTGCCCTCAACTCAATTATTCAATATGGGTAGTTCTCTAAAATAGGGTGCCAATCTAGTACGGCACCCTTAAAACGGGACCCTAAGGGGGACCCTAATGTAGACAACTACCTACATCGCTTCGTCAGGCGAGCTTCGTCAGATTTGCAGCTGGATCGGATTTTATAAAGCTTCGTGGTTGGGGTTTGCGGTTTAGGAGCTTGAAACCGCCAGAAGCCACGGATTGAGCAACTTCGCCTTTAACATTGAGATGTATGCCCGCGGAACAACCGAAAGCTAGCTACAGCCGGAAACGCGAAACCTGACGAAACCCTAAAAGCCCCAAAAGGATTATTGTAACCCTGATGACCCCAATAATTAAGTTCAATAACCTGTAACAACCCTGATTACCGGAAAACCTAACAACCCTAGAACCCTAATAGCCTTAAAAGGCCTAAGAGGATCCCGGTAAAGGTTTTTGTATGGGGGTGGGTGTCAAATAAGAGGGTCCCGTTTTGGGTCCTAAGTAAAAATTCGGCGCCTAATTTTTAGGGTACGCAAAAGGGGCCCTAATTTTGACAACCTCCCATGAGGGCTCTATAATGAGGTCTCCAAGGTTTACAAGCCTCAACAACTACAACAGGGTGCCGGGGTATGTTAGGATTTGTATTGAGGAACCTAAACTGCACCCCAAACCCTAAACCCTATGCGAAGCCCTGATGTAGGGGGCTGAGTAACAAGATAATGCAGTAGAATAGGGTTGGGGGGGTACATTATCGTACGATTATACAGTCAGGAACACCAAGGGATAATGATAGTCATTTCACTCAGGCTTCTAACCCACAACCCTACAGTTCTATATCAAGAGGCCCTTCCACCGCCAGCAACTGCGCGCCCTTCGGAGGTCCTTCGCTGGATCGAAGCATCGAGCCTCCTAGGCTGTCTGTACTCGGTTTATCTCGGTTTAGGGTTTAGGGTTTAGGGGTTTAGGGGTTTTGGGGTTTAGAGATTTTAGGGGTTAGGGGTTTAGGGGTTTAGGGTTTAAGGGTCTTAGGGGTTTAGGGTTTAGAGGTTAAGGGCTCAGGGGTTTAGGGGTTAGGGGTTTAGGGGTTTAGGGCCTGGTTGGGGCTTAGGGTTGAGGGGTTTGGGGCCTCCTTGACTTGTTGTTATCTCTCGCTCTCCCTCATAGACTGATAGCGGGGCATGAATAATTAGAATAGGGCTCCTTTAGAGGGATCTAGAGGGGTTACTATAAGGTACTATAATATTGGGGCATTCACAATTGGAATAGGGTTTGGGGGTTGTATTATACTGTAATTGTAATAAGGAGCCCAAAGAATGAGTATGGGTGTATCTCCCTGTCTACCGAGGTAGCTAGCCGCCATCCATCCAGTTTCCTACCGTTCTAGCTTCCTACCCATTTACTTTTGTGTTTTCCATCTCTTTCTCTCTCTCTCTCTCTCGCTCTCTCGCCGGCGTTCAGGGTTCAGGGTCTGGGGTGTAGGGTTTCGCGACTAGGGCCCTCCAACGCGAAGCCCTGAAACCCCAAAGCGCAAAAGTTCAGTAATTTCAACACACACACACACACACACACCCGAGACACTAAGCCGTTAACTGCTCTTCAGTTGAGGGTTTAGGGTTTACATAGTTGTCCCGATTGAGATAGGCTTTTTGCTAATGAGAACGGAGCAGCTCTCAATCAAGCTATTACAACGTGTTTCAGTCTTCGGCGCACGGTCCCTACTAGCAGTTTTGTATAATATATCCTGAACATCCCTGAACCCTAAAACCTAATGTACCCCAAAACCCTGTTCTGACGACTAAGGCCTTTAAAAACTACATAGGGCTCCATGCTCGGAATTGCAGGAAAGGCCTAAAATTCGTCAAAAGAATCCTGAAACTCCTTAAAACCCCTCAAAGGCTCCAGCTTCAACTCGGCCCGCAAACCCAAAGCCTCGAATCCGGGACACCCCACGACTCCTACAGTAGGAGCCCAAAAGTTGGAAACCCCATAGCCTCAATCCTTAAGAGTAATGTATAGGGAATCCCAGCACTATTTGGCCTCAATCCGGTTTCCCACTTTATGGGGTTCACTCTAGTCCGTAGAATTAAAAAAACTTCAGTTCCTTCTTTGGGGTTTTAAAGTACCCATAAATGCCCATAAACTGTAACGTGTTACGGAGTTATACACAGGGCTGAAGCGCAAATCCTTGCACTCCGGAAACTCTAAAGTCTGTTTGAATATTTAGAGGATCATGGGACTTAGCAAGTAAGGTTATAAGTACCTTAACTGGGGATATAGGTAGATTTAAGTATAGTTACCCTAATTATAACCCTAGTTACTAAGTCCCATGATCCTTTACATAGGGCTTTGGGTCTTCAGCATTGGGGTATATAGGCTTTAGGGCTTTTCGGGGTCTAGGGTTTAGCTTGGCGTTTACAGTTGGATGCTACGCTCACGTGAGCTCTATCTTATCATACTGAGTGAAGTTATTTTGGAGTCTCCGGGTATTTCTTCAGTTGTGCCCACTTTGGTGGCCCAGCGTCGCTCCAGCGACCTCCAGGAAGACAGCGGATGCGTCCCGTTGGGTGTAGCCTGTCCAAGTGCTCATTGGGTTCCAAGTACTTCAAAGACAAAACCGTACGAGCACACCCCCGCAGTGCCTTTTACTGCAGCCCTTATGGTCTTTGATAGTGGGTATTCAGGTGTATTCGGGGGTAGTTGGGGGGTCTGGTATACCCTAAACCAACCCTGAACCTTAAACCGAAGATGCTGCAGGTTTGTACATGGAATCTCTGGAGGTTCCGAGCTGAGGGTCTATTTGTGAAGTTCCCAGGCGAAATCCATGACGGAACATCCCTACTAATCAGAAGCAAGGCTTGTAGTCCCTAAATCTTAAACCCTAAGCCCAAATGCGGATGAACATCCAAGAAGTTGATGAGCTTCATGACTCAGAATACGCTCGTTCGGTTCACCTATATGAGAAAACATGAGTGTGAAAGTCTGTCAAAAAGAAAGAGCGTAATCACACGTATGACTGTCGAGTGAATGAATGCGCGAGAACATGAACATATCATTGTATGACTATACGCACATGCGAATATGTGAATGCATCCTCATATGCATCAATGCATGTATTCGTGTACAACACTTGAGCATGTAAACATCGTATGGGCATGAGCAAAAAGTTGACAACTTTAAGCAGCGGAAGCACGTTATATACTAAGTAAGGAAGGAAGTGTATGCATGCAGATAAGTACATTTGTGCGTATTTACTATGCAAATGACTAAGTAAGTGAGTACGTAAGCATGCATGCATGAGATCATGTATGTACGTAGGCATGCAGGTATATAGGTATGTATGCTTGTATGTGTGTCGGTATGTATGTATGTGCATGTATGTATGTATGTATGTACGTATGTATGACAGACAGCCAGGCAGGCAGGCAGGCAGGCAGGCAGGCAAATAGGTAGATAGACTGAAACGCGGATAGACCGATAAATAGATGGACGGTGGCACACTGCAGTTCTCCAGATATGCCATGAGAGGTAGATAACCGATAGAAGGACAGATAGATGAATGTTTCGATAGACCGATCGACAGGTCGACTTGCCGACAGATAGATGGGTAGATAGGATTATCAATAGATCGGCGGTCAGAAATACAGACAGCTACATAGATAGCCAGATAGATAGATAGATCGGTCGGTAGGTAGATAGATGGATAGATCAACAAATCAGTAGAACGGCAATCAGACAGATAGACAGTTAGATAGATAGATAGATAGATAGATAAATAGATAGACAGGTAGCTAGATAGATGGATGGATGGATAGATAGACACATTAGATAGAGAGATCCTGGCACACTGCAGTCTTTTCCAGCTCTTCCAGCTCTCCCACAGTCTGCTGTGCTGTGAACCGCTGCGGCCTCGGGGTGAGAAGGAACCCTGGGGCTTCTGCCAGCCGCGCCAAGGCACCCATGGAGGATGTCTGACTGCAGAGACGCAGCAGCTCCTGTATCGCAGCAGGCTTCCTTCTCTTCTGAAATAACCGGGCCAAAAAAAAGCTCGAACTTTCCAAGACAGACTAAGCATTTAAGGCCAGAAAGTGTAAAGTTCTCCCATTGGTTAAGTAAGCTTCAAAGAGAAGTCAATGCCATGGGGCCCATGGTCCGGGTGCTGCTGGATGTAAGGGCCCCTGCAGATGAGCATCTCTGCCAACATGCATCCTTAGCCGCCCTTAGAAACCAAAACAAAAATATTGTTCTGATTAATTTTCTGGAGTTATGCATCATACGAAAAGTTAATCCTAAGAGAACACTCTGGAGCCATGTTATAAACAAACACAAAAACAGTTCCTAAGAGCAGTAAAGCATCCAGCAGCCCAGACGTCATCCAGGCTGTCGAAAGCTTCTCCTCGACGCCTTTCTGGTGAGAAATACCATGCTGGGCCGACACCAGCTACAGACATGACAGCTGGCTCCAGTGTTTTGTAGATCTTGGCCAATCCGACGTCGATGATTTTCAAAGAGTCTGGGCAAGTCTGGGCAACACCCTTGCTATCAACTGTGACGAGGATGTTTTCAGCATGGAGATCTCGATGGGTCATTCCGATGGAGTGGATGCATGCCAGGCCTTTGAACAGCTGCAAGAACCAGTGCCACACACTTTCCCGAGGGCATGGCTCAACGGCAGAATTGTTGATCAATTTGTAAAGCTTCGCAGCATGAATGTACTCTGTGACGATGTGCAGAATACCTCTCTCATCTAAGAAGGATGTGTAGTACCGAATCAGGTTCGGATGCGCAGGCAAAGCCGCCAAGTTCTCCAGTTCTTTTCGCAGAAGTGCCTCGTCCTCAGCAAAAGGCTGGTAGATGGTCCTGACTTCCGCAAGACCCTAAGTAAACAGCTCAAACTTGGAGAAAAGGGGGGCTTTCATAATTAAAGTACGGTTTTGGAGGTTCCTTAAGTTATAGTTTTCGTATAGTGGGATAGTGGGACCCCAAACCATACTCGAACTATACATTGAGGCCCCTACACGACTGCACTTGCAGAACCTGAGGTTGGGGACCCTACTTAAAGGATCATGGGACTTAGTAAGAAAGGCTATAAGTACCTTAATTGGGGTTATAAGTGGCCACAAGTATAGTTACCCTACCTAATGCTAACCCTAGTTTCTAAGTCCCATGATCCTTTAAGTAAACCCTGTTGGAGACCAGGAGTCTTCACAGCACAAAGGCGCTGGTCCAAGAGGCATCTGCAGCAGTGGACCACGCCGAATCCCCCCCGACCCAGTGGTCCGGTGCCTACCATCTCCTAGGACCAGAGTTTAGGGTTTAGGGTTTAGGGTTGGTCCTAGGATGCCCAGTAACCTAGGAACAAAAAGGCCTCCCTTTTTGGTATTGGGTAACTTTATAAGGGACCTAGGACTACAAAAAGGGAATAAGGGTACTACTGGGCATCCTAATCTCCTATGGTTCGATGTCAAAAGCTGAAAACACGCGTAGGTTGCGACTCCATATTACTTAAAGTAAGCCAAAGAGGAAGTTTTCCAAAAACTCGTTCCAAATCGGTACCTAGTCTCATATCCTGCTGGGATCTGAGCTCCTTTGGGGTTCGGCCGCTGGGCAGAGCCGGAGGATGCACGAAGCAGGGGCAAGAAGAAGGTAGAAGCGACGTCGGACTCCCGTTTCCTTACTTTTGGTTAGTAGGGATGGAAGAATGGTAGTAATAGTAGTTATAATTATACCCCATTCCTCCATTCGCTACTAAACAAAGGTAAGCTTCGCGCTGGCGAAGTGGCCGTCCTCCTGGAGATCAAAGGAGCGGCCGGTGGCAGTGCAGATCAGGTGAAAGCTCCCGATCACATCAGAGCTCCCCCAAATCGCAAACCTGGCAAAGTCGTCTCTACAATCTCCGTAGCGCACCGAGAGGAGCTGATCACCTAGCCCATCCACATGTAAAGGATGACCAGATCCCTGGTTTACCAGAAAGAACCCACCCGCTTGGTCTGACTCCAGGCGATACTGGGAGTAGTCATCCCCATCGCCCCTCAGGCCTTTTACCAACCGATCCCCCAAACCATCCACACGCAGGTGCTGCAGAGTGGAACCGTGCACAAGGAGACAGGGCTGCACAGCGAAGCTGACTTCGACGTGGAAGGACGTGTTCTCATCGCGACACTTCTCAGGATAACGTGCTGATGCCAGTCTGTCGCGATTAGCATCGACGTGAAGCAGCGAAGCCGTGGCAACATTTCGAATCACAATGTCCGGAAATGCAGGCGCGGCTTCCAAGCAGAACTTGGAATAGTCATCTCTGCAATCTCCACAGCGCACCGATGCGAGCCGGTCACCCAAACCATTGATGTGCAAGGGCATCCCAGTCGCTGTGTCCTGGATGTAGACTGTCTTCTCTCCCGCCGGTTCGACCGAAAACAGTGAAAAGTCATCGCGACAGTCTCCATATCGGATGGATGCAAGCTTGTCCCCTAATCCATCGACATGAAGTGGCAACCCAGTGCCGACGTGAATGAAGCGAAATGTTGCCATCGCGAGAAAACGCTCGACCCCAAGCTCATCATCCACGTATCGACCCACAAGAATTCAATAATACAGCGTAGCCACACTGTTGAATTACTGTTGTCTTCTTTGGCCTTGCCTTGCTAGCCCAAAACTTCGAAGGCTACTGCAACGACTCAGGAACATGACAACTTCGAAGCTCCGGAGATCGGATGAAGACATCGCATGCAGTCGTAACTGCTAAACTACTCGCCACTCCACCATCTTCAGCAACATCATGTGTGCACGTGCGTGTGTGTCTGTGCACTCGTTCTGCGGAGAAACATGGCCGGACCTCCCCAACTTTTGGCAAGTAGGGCTCTACATAAACTGCAGTGGGAATTAACCATTATCTCAAAATCAATACCTAGTTCAGGGTGGGGGGTTTAGGTAGCAGGTCGGTGCAGCCGCGCGGTAGGGACTGCCCAGCTCTCCTGTGTGGGTCTTCAGGTAGAAGCCAGAAAGTCGGAAAGTTGAGGGTTTAGGGTTCATGCACTTGAGGTAACGAGCACCAATCATCCTAAATCCATGTTCCAACTTACTGGAACTCAACCCAAGATATAACATGCTAAACCCTAAACCGTGAACCCTGAACCCCGAGCCCTAAACCCTAAACCCCTAAACCGTAAACCCCAAATCCTATAGATCCTTATTCTAGAACCCTTACAGATCATGGATCCCTTATAGAACCCCTATGTACCCCTTTAAAGGAACCCCAATTTTTCCCTCGGGACCCGGCCCTGGTTGGCACACAACTGCGCACGAGTCTCCCACGGGGGTGTCTACCTCAGCCCGGGCTCAACGGTTTAGTTCGTTTTTTCGCCTGACGTTGTTTTTAAAGCTCCTTTTTCATGTCCGCAAGGCAGTCGTCAGGCGGTTTAGGGTTTATGGATTGGGGCTTAGAGTTAACACGTTGAAGTGGGAGGTTTCAAAGTTGTGAGAGACAGAACCCCTAAGCAAAGCCTACCCGAAGCAACCTGCGTAAGGGCTTTTCTCAGGAAGCCATGATATGGAGCCCTGCACCCAGAGACTCCAATACCCCTTAATTAGGGAATATTCCTTAAATCATACTAGGGATCCTACTATAGTTTAAGGTATATTCCTTAATTAAGGGATATTGGAGACTCTGGGCAAGGGTTGGTCTGATAGGGAAATTACATTGCGTCATCACGTTTTATGGGATATTGTTTGGCTTTGAAGGACTACTGTAGCATAGGGCTTCATGAGGTTGTCGGGTTCATGACGGTTCGAAGCAATTCCAACTGTGTGTCCCTTGGAACTGAACAGTCCGAGAATTTTGAGTGAGGTACGAGCGGGCCTTCCTCCCAACATATCTCGATACACTGACGGAAGTCTCATTGCAAATCTCAAACGGACAACTAGCCATGACTTTTCAGGTATAACATACCGGCATCATAAGGAACGCATGTTCTGGGAAATACTAGACAACCAACGTAAGTTGTACTAGAGAACACAAGCGGTGCTGTGCTTTTGTTTGCAGACATCAGCGGGGTTACATGGGCCCCCCTGCCTATGCCCGAAGAGCCACTCACATTTTAGGTGCCAGTCCCCGTGGCAGCACGACAGCTCTGCTGAGCTTGGGGTTTACGGCTTGATGCAGGATTGAAGACTTAGTTGCCAGCTACCTACACTCAGCGGCAAACCGTGTGTCCGAATGCCAGCAAAGACCCCCAGACTTGTGAAGTACAAGCTGTCCGGCGCAAGCTCCTCTCCCCTGCTCTGAGCGGCAGGCACAATGCTCCAGCGATATGGCACCACCAATGGCCTGGTCGCACGGCGTGGACTGGGGTTCAGAGTTTGGGAACCGAGGTCGGAACACGTGGCACCTTACGCAACAGTGGCTCGGAAGAAACACTCAAACTTACGGTCTAGTGTTTGGGGAAACGTAAGCCCTAAACAACACAGCCCACACCCTGAACTCTCTTCAGACTTTTGGTGCTTCGGGGTTTTGGGGCTAAGGCGCAAAAGGCACTGTCAACGCATGGTTGCTTGAAGGATCATGGGAGCCAGTAACTAGGGCTACAATTAGGCTTACTATACTTTTAACTACTTTTAATTGGGGTTAAGGTACTTATAACCTTACTTATTCAGTCCCATGATCCTCCAAGTGCTTGAAGATGCATGTTGGGGAGGGCGTGGGCGTGGTGCAGTGCAGGAAAGAAAGTGGCAGGAAATGCTCGGTGCACCTAGGGGTCTATAAGGCTACTATAAGGGATCTATAATGGTTCTTAGTAGGGAATGGGGGAATGGATTATAGAGGCTATTCTTGGGGATTGTATAGCTGGACCCCAGAAGTATGTAGAATAATGGCCTTTTATAGGTTTTGGGCCATTATTTTACCTACTTTTGGGCGTCTAGGTACTTCGCCATGAAATGCCTGTATAGGAACCCGACCTAACTATATACTACACATGGAGCCTTGGGGTTTCAAGATGGGAGCCGTTGTCGGGCCTGTGCCACCCGTGCTCCCTTTCAGACTCGAAATTGGTGAAATTAGTGCTCGTGGCAGAGGAGTGCCAAGTCAAAACAACACTCAGCCAATGCTACGTAGGGTCTGGCATGCCGGGCCTTGTTTGCAAAGGGTAGCAGAATTGAACCGACGGTAAGAAAGAGGAGTAGTGCATGTAATCGCCTAGTCCATCCGTCGGGTGAACTCCAGCAGCAACAGAACAAACTTGTCTTTCAGCGGGTCTACACTGCTGTATACTTGCAAATCCTCAACCGGAAGCCAGCACTCTAAACCCGAAGCTCTGAACCCTAAGCTCTAAACTTTAAGCTCTACAGCCCTGTTCCAAGTCCTAAACCTGGCAGCTGGAAGCCTCTGTGGGCAGGCCGCAGTATGCCATGCACTTGCCCGACAGCCACACCTCATATTCGGGTTCAAGGGTTTAGGTTCTGTTTTGGATTTTGTCCAAGGGGCCAGAAGCCCCAAAACATCCGAGGGTTTCGGCTCTTTTTCCATTGTTTACTTTGACATTGAACCCAAGCTTAATCTTCAAAAAACTGCACTACCACCTAGAAAAGCCTGGGGAAAATTCAGACAACCCTCCAAAGCATCCTGCTACAGCTGAGTGCACCCCCCTTTGGCAGACAACAATGTTTCTAAAACAAACGTTGAGATCAACCTCTCCCTAATCCTTACCAGCCCTAAATCCTAGACCCCGAAAACTAAACCAGCAATCCCAAATCCCAAACCTGAAATCCCAAACCCAAACACCCAAAACCTAAATTAGGGTGTCGCTGGAAGCAATCTCCAAAGTTATCTCGAATTAAGGCTCTTCCTTCAACAATAATGGAAAGTAAATGTTATCCCATATTAAAAGGTATCCCAAATCTACCAAGTAAAACCCTAAGCCCCAACCCCCAAATCCGAAACCCTCCCCCCAGAAGGCCCAAGACCCCCTTAGGAGCCTTAGGGTAAGAACTCCTGTCCCCTGATCCTTTAAGTAGACCCCAAACCCTAAACCCTATAGATCCCTTTAAGGAACCCCTATAGATCCCTGTAAAGGGACCCTTAAAGGAGCCTTAGGGTAAGAACTCCTGTCCCAATGGTCGCAAAAAACCTCGGGTCCCAGCTCCCCGCTCGCATCGCAGCTCGGATATCAACTGCGGCTGCAAGCTGTCAGGTTTTCGGGCTTAGGGTTTAGGGTGTAGAGTCTACGGTTTAGGGTTCAGAGTTTAGGGTTTAGGGCTTAGAGTTTAGGGTTTAGAGTTTAGGGCTTCCGGTCTAGGGCTAAGGTTTAGGATGCAATGTGGGCTTTCATAACTGAGGGCTTATGGCCTTCGTGTTTTGTGCGTAAACCGTCTCAGTTCATGGTGTTTTAAGTCTTGGTGTTTCAGGGCTGAGGATTTCAGGATGAAGATTTCGTCTTATGTGGTTATGCTCAGACCTTCCAAAACCCCTTAATTAAGGAATATACCTCAAGTTATAGTAATTAAGGATCTTACTATACTTTCCTGTATAATAATGTACCTTCAGTTATAATAGGGATCTTACTATATTTTCGTGTATAATCCCTTATTACACTGCACGTTTCGGGGAAGGTCCGGGGGGGGGGGGGGCAGATCTGCAGTTACGGACCAGCCCTGAATCGCGAGTTTTGGCTTGAAGGATCAGGGCTTTAGGGTTTACCTATAATTAGTCTCCATTGTAGTTCCTTTTTGGGGTTACCTTATAGGATACCAATTATATATATTTGGTTAAACCAAAAAAACGAACTACAATAACCGACGTGCATCCACGGCCCCTTTGGCATGCAGTCAAAGTTCTGAGGTGGGAGTTGTTGCTGCAGGGGCTCCAGGTCTCAGGTTTAGGACAGTAGTTATGTAGGCTACTATTGGGAAGAGTATAGGATAATCAGGTACCTGGACCTGTAGGGTTAGGCTTTCCAGAGCTTGGCATAGTTCAGCATGCCTTCCCGGGTCTGGCACACGTCCAGTTCATCTCGGCTCAGCGCCATGTTTGGCGCCATTATGTCAGGTGGGTCCGGGCTGCCGCATGAACCGACAGAGAGCAGCAAACCACAAGCGTGGATCAAATGCTTGCTGAACTGAAGATGTCCCATGCATACCGACGTGGAAGTCACGCCAGTGCTCCAAGCACCGGTGGCGGGTGGCAGTCGCGGATGGCAGCACATACTGCCGAAACTTGCAAGCAAATACCATGCAGCCCTAGAAGCTTATACGTCCAAAGCAACCCCCGTCGATAAATTCTGATGCCCGAATTTAGCTGCTCACGCTGGCCGAATAATGTCGGAAAGGTAGCCAGCTGCGATTCGCGCACACGGTGGATCTGAAAGAAGCATTCGGTTGAAGGGTTTAGGGATTGCTTACACTGTAGGTTCGCGCTTAAATAATCTGCTGTGATTGGTTGCAAACGTAGCGTTGAGCAGCAGGGTTGTTGATCTTTCTTTTGAGAAGATTAAGGCTTACGGATTTCAAAGTTTCAGCATGTCGCTGTTTTTGGATTC